CTGAGAAGACTTTTCCTGCCCCAGAGAGATTAAAAGCTCATTCTCATAGATAAGGTATGCGGAGTAAGAGGGAAGGGCTGAATTGAGACATTCCTTGTGGGGAATTGGCACGGGATCATTTCCTGGAGTGAAACAAGCCTCCAGGAACAAAGAGCAGGTGGCAGGGAAGTGTGGCTGCTCTCCTCTCCCAGGGACCTGCTAACGAAAGGTATGCATAGGAAATCAAGATTTGAGCATAGCTGCACAAGCCATTCACAGACCCAGAGCCACCCAGGGTGGAGATGATTATCTTTAGTACTCCGACACTGTTGCCTGAACCAGTCCCATGGGAGTACTCAGGCATGAACCATCCCTTGCGAGACAATGTGGACAAGCCTTACAGGGCTGAAAAGTCCATAGATTGAAGAAAGTAACTGAGGAAGATGAGAGAGAGATGGAGAGGAGGACTGGAGAAAAGGGTGAGCCTGGGAATTGAGAATAAGTTCCCAATTCACTGCAATGAATGTTAAGCAATGCTGAATATAAGGATTTTTTTTTCTCCTAAATTGGACAAAAGCATCCTAATCTCCAAGAGTCAGGATGATGTAGCAAAGGTTGGTGGCCCATGTGGTTATATGTCAGCTGTTGAGCAGACTCTACAGAGGTTGATCTATTTGGTGAGAAACTGAGGGAATGCAGATACTTGGCAATACCAGAGGATGGAAAAGTATCCTTGGAGGCGGTTGCTGTGTCTTGTCCTATATGCACACCTTCTTGTAAGTGTCCTCTACTGTCCAGGATCTGATGTGAAATAGGGGATTTTGATGTGATATGGTATGAGTTTTCATTCTAAATATGCTATTGTGAATGGAGACTTTTATAATATGCCCTCACCAGGGAAAGGTGGTACCTAACTGGTTTTAGACATGGTCTGAGTTGTTTGCAGTTATTTTTATAGTTTTGGAGACTCTTGTAACTTGACATAAGGCTAGTTAATGTTGAAGAACCAACAGTGATTTGCATGGCTTAATTTTTTTTTTTAAATAATGTTCAAGATAACTTTTTTATTTGTTAGGCTGTAATGATATGTTTATCAAACGGTAGGCCAAAGCGTACAAAAAGGAAATAATGAATTTCCAACACATTGCAGAGAAGAAATACAAAATAGTTTTGAAGTAGAAATAATTTTTTTCACTAGTGGTAAATTGAGTCTGAGCTTGAATGGCGGTTGAACTTCTGTCTGGTCAGTTCATCTGGGTTTTGTTAAATTAAAAAATAAAAATCCACTTACAGATTACTTGTACTATGATCACATCACATAGTGTGGTGACTTTGCAGTGGAAGAACAGACACTACAAAGCCATATTGATTTTTTTTTCTTGAATGAAGTTAAAATGGCACAAGAGAAACATGGCTTCTAGGGAGACAGCATCTTTTTCTAGATGAATTGTTTAAGTTGGAAAAACTGTCTAATGGAAGATTCAGATGAGAGTGAAAATACTCTGATCCCATATAATGAAGGCAATAGGAGCAAATAATTAGCTGAGGACATCCACTAGTGCTCTGAGGGGGGGAAAGTGATTGCTAAAAATTTCTAGAAGTGCATAGGAACTTCAACATGAATGAGAACTCTCCTATGGTAGGTGCCAATAAAGCAATCAAAATGTAAAGAATAAATAGGGAATATATACAGAAAATTTAAGGTGATATAGCAGTCCTAATTTAAAACAATCTTATGCACACAATAAGGTTTTTTGTGCTTTAACTCTCAAACTAGAAACATTGGACTTTTATTAAATGTGTTTCACTGTGTTTTTACAAAATATAGTCATTAGTGTAAGGCTACAGGTTACTGGGTAGAACATATTTTCCAAAATGGTGCAGAATAACACCTCACAGATAAATGTTGATAAGTGTTTAGAGAGTCTGGTGCAGAGGTGGATGCTTGGACAAAAAACATGTATGGGTTAGCAAACACTAGGCTCTGTCAAGAAGCAGCGCTAACCTCATGCAGCCTAAGTTAGCTCTCCTTTGCTGCTGGCTCTGTGCATGAACCGATGCTGTTTTCTTTACTGTCTATTGCTGGTATGTTTAACCAGAAGTAGCACAGGGTACCTCTGGAAGAATGAAAAACAATACAAAGAATCACAATAGTAACACACAAATAGAAGCTGATGAAGGTGAGGCAAAGACAATAGGATGTAAAGATTTTCAACTCAAAGTTGTAAGTCCAAATTTTGGGAAAGAGCACTAGTGGCTGGCTGCAAGTTAATTTACATCTGGAAGCCTAGTTGAAATGCATTCTTGTCTTGAAGATCTCAAATAGCTGCAATACCTACTGGTGGAACGTGAACACATGGACAGATGAGAAGAGCAAAGCTCTTCCACATCCTGAGTTATGGTGTCCTTAGGGAATAATGTGGAAACGTAGTGATGGGGGTCAGCTGTGAAAACCTGCACTGCACATGCTGTGATTATTCCCTGGAAAACACGATGTATATGACTCTAAGGCAAGCACAGCTTATGGAAGCATGGTAGACTGCAACCTTTCTACAGTATGTCTTTGACTTTATGAATTCTGCAGATTCTTTATGAATACTATGCAGATTAGACTACTCTAGCCCTGCCACAAGGGGCAACTCTGCCCAAGGGACTACTTGCAAACCTTCTCTACTACAAAATATGCATATTCCCAAGTCTATAATGCCTCTCATAAAATGTGAACGGAATACCTCTTGAGCAATTTCTTGTGACCCTTGGAACAGTAACACGTGATGGAAAGAATTTAGAAGAATAAGGTAAATATTTATAAACTTGTGTTATAAATCAGTGGTCTTGTAATTTCTCTCACTCTCCATGAGACTCCATGAACATGATAAATTACTTCATTGCTCAGCCTGGATTTTGGTGCAGTTGTCTACACAGGCTGCCTAAGCAGAGGCCAGGAACAGAGACCTTGGAAGCTTTGAGATTGTCTCATTTAAGTTAGTGAAAGAAATTTGCGTAGTTTTCCTTCCATACATATGCTTCCACAAAAAAAGAGGTCTTTGCTTTTCTCACTTGTGATATAGTTTCCAGTCACAGGTTAGTCAGGGAAATTAGACTGCAGTTTCTAAAGATGACCTCTTGTTTTCAGGTTTGGAATCAGAGTGGCATTAGCCCAGAGAAAGGGGAATGGATCACATCATCTCAACTGGCAAACAGAAACAAAGATATTCACTGGCTCAGCCAGGGAATTGTAAAAGTTCATTGTAAAGCAGAAAAATTTCCATGATAGAAAGAAGGGATGATCATCTCGTAGTGAAGTATGTCAAGTTTAGACCAAGGCTTCTGCCACAAGCATGGCAGGCTTCAAACACTACATTTTAACTGCAATCCATATTGCTTCAAGGTTCTTTCTAGCAATTCTAAATCAGTATTTTGGCTGCATATCAGAATGCAATGTTGCCGTAGAGACTGAGCCAAATCTTGCCCTTAGAATTAGATGAATATGTACATGTGTATAAGAGGAGGAAATACAGTTGATTTGGTATTCCTGGATGGGATAAAGCTTAATAAACTTATCTGTATCTCTTCTTCCTTTTTGTTGCAATGAATTTCAATATTCCTGTTTTTTCATCATAATAAATTCACAGTATCCTCCTTTAGGTTTTTTTTTCCTGACATCTTTCCTTACAAAATCTCATGAAGTGGTATGAAGTGTTCCTTGGGAGCCCATGGAAAGAGTTTTTTATTGGAATTTGCAAGCACTTAGGTAACTAATGAGACACCTAAGGCTCCTGATGGAATTTCCTTTGCACCTACTGAAAGTACATCCAAATGATCTGTCTATGGTTTGAGCAGTCTCTCTGAGTGGGCAGCAGGTAACCTGACCCATGCAGAGCTCTATTTATTACTAAGATTCAGCTAGGATGAATTATACCTGAGGTAAATCACACCTCCCAAACTCTTTAAAAATAATTCTCACCTTCTCAATCCACAACAATTTTCTGCAATATTACAAAATCCCCCTCAATTTTTTCCATGATGACCACAATTTATTTTTCAGGGGATTGTCAAAAGTGACTTTCTGCATGAAAGTTCTGCTTTGAGAGCCAGTCTGTAGCTGGTTTGTCAGGGAAACAAGGGGTATGAGCTCATGCAGTTGGTCTGTCTGTCTCACATTAAAGACCACTGAACTAGTTGACTGCTTGTGATGAGTTCTGGTGGGATATAAGTGGGAACTGACAGTCAGCTTTCCTGTTGTGAGCTGGAAACACAGGCAATTACCTCAAGGGACAGATGCAACTGCAATTTGCAGGGAGCAGAAGGAAGACTGTGTGTATCATGTGAACTGTGGCTGACAGGATGGCAGACAGCTTTCTTAGGAGAGCTACTTCTTAGACCTGACCCTTTCATCTTAATAAAAGTCTTTCTCATGAAGTTCTTCGCTTGGGCATCACTTGGTATTATGGAAACCAAGAAACTTCTCTTTAAGCAAGCTGTCTTGCTTAACTGTTGTTAACCAAGGAATACTGTAGGCAGGAGTCATCTTAGTATTGTCCTCTTTTATCACTAATCTTTATAAACAGACATAGCCCCTCGACCAAATCCAACCTTATTTCAATAGGTGAAAAAAAAAGTAGTACACATATGAAGTATTCCACTGACATCAGTGGAATGAAACATTACATTGTTGTAAATATGAAGAGAATAAGAACAACTAGGAGGCCCGTTGCTACTGCTGAATTTGTTTTACTCCATGTCAGATTAGAAGGCCTCACAATCTGTTTCTGTAACAAAGGCAGGTAAAGCTTTTGGTTTGGATGTATTTTTACTGAAAGATAAGACATTAAAATTTTACAACTCTGATGACACCGGTCCAGATGTTCAGAAATGAGCTCTCTCCTCATCTGGGGAACAATTTTTTGTGGTACGTTGTAGTTCACGTCAAGTCCTGTTTAAGTCTCACCCATGCTTTACAAAATCAATAGCATTCTTAGTTCCAAACCTGTATGCCTGCAGGTCTGCACTTCTCCTACCTGCTTGTGAGGATAAACATTAATGTGGCACTTGATACATTCTTGTCCCATGTTAGCCCAGGAGTTTCCACTCATCCATTTTCTCTTGCATTTGGGGCACTTATATTCACCGAAGCAGCGTTTCTTGCCCTGGTATGGTGTCAGGCCTTCTCCTTTTGGACGAGCCTACAAAACAAAGGGAAGTAGCAATGAATGATCAAAAAAGGGTGTGTGGGAGAGTAGAAAAGTAAGTTGTTTTTTTTTTTTAAATTGGGAAACTTTGGAGGCAGACATGAAGGTCATACCCCTTGATGAAGAGTTTGTATGTTGAAGCTAGAGTTTAACAGTTATGAGAGTTTCTTCTGTAAGAAGTATTCAGAAGTTCAAGACTGCTTGTAACACTTGTAAATGACACTGAGCATAGTATTTAGAAATATGCCCGTGTGCTTTTTGCAATGAATAGTTTTAATATCCTTTTCATTATGATAAGATTATCTCTATTGAGTACATATTACTAGTATCACTTATAGCATCCTGAGAGGTAGCTCACTAGTAAAGGACTGTATTTCTTAACTACATCCTTGTCTATTCCCAACTAGAACCTATCATTAAGAAAACTTTTTATAATTCAGCTTTGCACAGCCTCTAAACAGCTAAATACTGGTAATTCATTAGTATGTGGTTATGCTTTATTATCATAGAATCCTAGAATGGTTTGGGACTAGAATGGTTTTTGGACCTCAGAGATCATCTATTTGCAACCCCCTGCCATGGGCAGGGACACTTTCCACTAGATCAGGTTGCTCAAAGCCTCATCCATCCTGGCCTTGAACACTTCCAGGGATTATATGGGAGTGCACAAACTAGGATTGAGTGAAGAAAGTACATGGTTTTTGATTAGTGGAAATCATTAATTTCACGGACTTTGCTTGATTTCTTGCTCTTGCTGAACAGTTTCACTGATTTCTACATTTTGAAGAAATAGGAAGGGATTCTCAAATGACTGTTGTGATGTCTAAATGTTAAATGTCCCCTAAAAAAAGCCTTTTTATCTAGGGAAGCTAGTAGAGCAGACAAAGACCTTATGCAAATACTATTTTTATTTTTTCTAAATACACTCACTAAAACTGTGTGTCATACTTAACAAAAGTATAGTAAGGTGCATAATATGCTAGTATGTTAAGGTGAAGATGAGAGTATTGCATACAGCTGTCCTGAAGATAGCTGTAAAGATGAAGCCATTTTCCCAGAGTCTCTAGCAGGTGTTGAAATACTGCCTGCTGTATTCTTTTTACTGTTGCCTGGAGTAGAGGGAGGTACTTCGCCTGCATAGTGGCAGAATGGTATGAGCACCTATCAAAGGATTCTTTGTCACTTATTTATGTCATGCCTCTGCAGCTTTTTTTTTTTAAGGTTCTCAGATGAAGTTTAC